TCTTTGACAGTGGGGCCTGCCTGGTGCTTCGCTGAGTCGTTGGCCGCTGCTATGTTCTGCTTGTGGCGTTGCCTTCTGGTCATCCACTCTCAGCAGGGGTTAAAAGAGTCCATGACTGAAAACATCAATATGGGGATTCCGCAGGTTGTTGAGGGTTCAGCCTCTTGACTAGTCGGTCAGTGCAAGTCCAACAAAACAGTCTGTCGTTGTTGATTTTCTCGGAATTCATTTCTTTTTCCTGTTTCCTTTTCTTCAGTCCCGTACTTGTGTCTCTGTCCGCAACCGCTTCAACATTCAGCTTGTCCACAACAGAGTTATTTGAGAATTTTCTTCTCTTTGTGCATGGTTTTCTCCCGGGAGGTCGTCGGTTGGAGTACAGCTGTGTTGTACTGGAGCTATGTCAATGTGTTTTCAGACAAACCATATCATGTGTTTTCAGACAAACCATATCACACCCACCCACCCACCCACCCACCCACACCCACACACACACACACACACACACACACACACATGCGCAGTTTCTCAGACTTACTGCCATTCTTGTCAGGGGTTTGGACCAACAGTCTGATAGGATTTTGCAGGGTTGGTGTGAGTAGAGCATGGTAACCGTCCGGACGTCCGTACCAGGTTCCAGACAGTCCGGTGTCCGGTCCTTATGTCCGGATGGAGGCCCCTGGGGCAAAAAAAAAAAAAAAAAAACGGGGCGGCCCAGGACGTTTATCGGGTCCCGGCCGCCCCTCGAAAAATAACGGGGTGATTTTTCAGTGTTGTTTCACCCCACCTTACAGGGCCTGGAGGTCCGGACACAAGACACTGCAGGTTTTGGGGGTGGCGGATTTCACACAGGCCTGAGCAATTTCAAAGCGGCCGTTTCGACGTGGCGCCCGCCGCTGCTGCCCGTGAGGGGGGGGGAGAGAGAGAGAGAGAGAGAGAGAGAGAGAGAGAGAGAGAGAGAGAGAGAGAGAGAGAGAGAGAGAGCACTGACAGTGCTGCCAGTCTGAAGACTCTGACGTTCTGAATTGAATTGCAAAGTTCGAACTTTTATGTTGTTATGAACTTAAATTACTAAATCCAAAGTTCAAAGTTCAAAGTTAATCATACTTTTTTTT